AGAACCGTCGCGTGGTGGAGGAGGAGGAGGGGAAGAACCGTCGCGTGGTGGAGGAGGTGGAGGGGAAGAACCGTCGCGCGTGGTGGAGGAGGAGGAGGGGAAGAATCGTCGCGTGGTGGAGGAGGTGGAGGGGAAGAACCGTCGCCTGGTGGTGGAGGAGAGGCAGCACGTTTGCTTGGTGGAGGAGGAGGAGGAGGAGGAGGAGGTGGAGGAGGCGAAGAACCGTCGCGGGTGGAGGAGGAGAGGCAGAACGTTTGTTTGGTGGAGGAGGAGGAGGGGCAGAACCGTCGCGTGGTGGAGGAGGTGGAGGGGAAGAACCGTCGCGTGGTGGAGGAGGTGGAGGGGAAGAACCGTCGCCTGGTGGTGGAGGAGAGGCAGCACGTTTGCTTGGTGGAGGAGGAGGAGGAGGAGGAGGGGAAGAACCGTCACGTGGTGGAGGAGGAGGAGGGGAAGAACCGTCGCGTGGTGGAGGAGGAGAGGCAGCACGTTTGCTTGGTGGAGGAGGTGGAGGGGAAGAACCGTCGCGTGGTGGAGGAGGAGGAGGGGAAGAACCGTCGCGGGGTGGTGGAGGAGGAGGGGAAGCACCGTCGCGTGGTGGAGGAGGAGGAGGGGAAGAACCGTCGCGTGGTGGAGGAGGAGGAGGGGAAGAACCGTCGCGTGGTGGAGGAGGAGAGGCAGAACGTTTGTTTGGTTGAGGAGCAGGGTCAGAACCGTTGTTCGGTGGAGGAGGGGCAGACCCGTTGCTTGGAGGTGGAGGAGGTGGACCAGTACTGTTGCCTGGTCTTGGTCTTGGTCTCTGTGGCCGATCGCCGTTTGCTGTATGAATTTAAGAGAAAAATACGGACCAACTAAAAACATATTTCTGCATAGTCTTATATGAAATGTTGTTAACGTACAATTTCTTTATTCGCCTCACATGACTGCTCAGTTTTAATGCCATTGATATCTTCAACAAATACCCTGTAAGATTTAGCACATGAAAAGCTTAGAAAGTTCCCCGTATCGATGATCCTAATATGTTTATACTTACGAGGCCGTGCGGCACAAACAGCAGCAAGTACCAGGATGACCAAGAGTCCGCTGAGAATGATTCGGCCTGCCATGATGATATTGATGATATCAGCTTGGAGTGGTCTTTGGTTGCTTGTCGTATCTGGAAGGACACTGACTATGGCTTTCATGGTTCTACCATCCCTCTTTTTATACATTTCCCACGTCTGAATTTTTTAAGGTAGATCCTAAAAGGTATATCATTCAGAGTGTGCGAAGTGTTAGATTTCAAGGCGCAATGTTTATCAATTCTCACATGTTTCTGTCTACTTCTCTTAGAAGGCGACACATTACCATTTCTTCTAACTGTTGCTGAGAAAACGGTGTTTCCGATCATTTTCCATCTGTTCGTGTTTAGTTTGTCTGTGTTGTCTAATGGAATTTATGTCATTTATATTGGAGCGGTGTTCTTATTTATGAGCAAACGTCTGCGTTTGTTTTATTCTTTGATTATGTAGTCCCACCACAAACTTTTAGATGACATGAGTTGCAATGACGTAGTGTGGGCTAAGCAAGGGGGGGGGGGGCGATGGTATCAGTGTCTGGCACTTCTTTTTGTTCCGGTGGGAGAAATGTGAATAGAAAGGTTTCAATTAATTGGACGGAGGTGGAGGAAGTCCTCTCACCTCTTTTCCGTGTTCCCCCTCTTTCTGTCTCTTTGCTTCTCTCTTTCTCCCCTCTCTGTCTATATCTGTCTGTCTTAGTCTGTAATGTGTATTTGAATTCTCACTCAAACACAATTACATATTTCCAATTTTTTTCTCTATTCTTTCTTTCTTCTATCTTAATCTAGTCACGTAAGTTCATGGAATACAAAATCTAGGTATAAATTTGCACAAAACAAACGTCTTTAATCCGTTACTACTGAATTATCTGATTCCCATAGACTTAACACAGAGACCACCAGGTTCCAGTAAACAATGGGTTAATATAAATACCTATGATAGGAGCATTCACATTTTTTCCTTTTCAGTGCTGTAATCAACACTAATAAATGCATTCTTACATTATTATGAATGCTGATTGTTTGATTTCTATTGCACATGTAGTATCTATTTACAAGCATTTCCTGGAATGCTTAATTTTATGACAAAACTTTAAGTGATTTAACATTTTAGTATGATTTTGTAGAATGGAGATATAGGGAGGGGCAGGAGAAGTGCAACAGCACTTCAGTACTTGAGAGACTCTCGGAACCTGATCGAAACCTCCTCACATCAACACAATATTACCATGGCAACTGAAGGTGACTTTACTGATGTAGAGGAAAGCCTCCATGAAGATGCTATTGAATGTCGTTGGTAGAAGGGCAGGTAGCTCCTCTGGAAAGGAACCTTGGGTGACTGATGAAGATGGGATTATAATGAATGAGGACAGTGGTAGCGGGATAATGGAAGATGAGAACGAACCTTCCACCTTTAAATCAGTAACTTCTCACCCCCATAACACGAAGATCAAGAAGCGGCTATGTCGTACGAGGATGACGGCTTCAAGAGTGATAACGAAAGGGAGGATGTGGATGACTAAAGCGTGTTCACGACAGGGTTCTAGGACACCTACCCCCTGGACAACCATCCTCTGGGACAAGTATCCTAAGGGGTAGTTATCTGGGGGTATTTGTCCACGGGTATTTGTCCGGGGTTAGTTATCCTAGGGGGTAGTTGTCTGGGGGTAGATGTCTAATGGTAGTTGTCCGGGGAGTAGTTGTCCTAGAAGTAGTCGTCCTAGAAGGTAGTTGCTCTAGGGGGTAGTTTTCCTAGAGGGTGGTTATCCTTGATCTTTTTATCCGGGGTTGGTTGTCCGGGGGTAGGTGTCCAGATACGCACGACAGATCGCCATGTGTGATCGTCAGACTGTGCAGACACACACTGCATACATTATTTTGATTCATGTTTGATTCCACAACTCTTATTCAAACTGTATGCCTGTTCTTGCTTCAATGGATCTATAGTACTTTATTTATAAATATATAAAGATTAGCTCAAGTGATCCCAATTCTAATGAATCAATATGGATAAACCTGTGCTTTAATTGACTAGTTACTGGTGCAATTATACAATTTCCTCACAACTGCGCCAGGAGTGTCATTTTTGACAAACATGGCGCATTATAAATGTTCTCTATTAGTATTATTAGTATTTCTCTCTTAGTTAGCACATTCCCTTAATATGTTATCTCTTTTTTTAGATTTAAAATTTTTGCGCATACATCCTATCTTGTCATGTATATTTGGCAAATTGTTATTTTTCTGTGTAAAGGAAACTTTTATATTGACTCTGAAATGTCCAATATAAAAATAATTTCCTTTCTTACTACATCCGATTGCTTTTCCTTCGGTGTCTTACTTTCATCATCATTCTTCTTCTCCATGTCTTCCAGTTCCACTTTTCCATTCTTCTCTTGCCGTCCTCTCTCTCTCCCTTTTTTCTCTCTCTCTTTAAAATGTTCTCTCCCAGGCACTTTCTCTTTCTCTCACTTTTGTTCAATTATGCTTCTATGATAGATCCTCGCATCATGTGTGTGACTGTGTTGAATTACATCGAGTAGCATTGTGAAATGGCATATAATTTGCAGTATATTATGGTTCGAAATCAAATATGCATTCTTAAAGCTACGATCACAAAGGTTCGTACGAACGATGCGTTAGTATGAATCTCTCTGTTTTTCCATTGTCTTCCCGAATTTCCGTTGGCCCAAAATCGTTCGTACGGCGCTCGTAGCAGTTCCTATTGGAGTTTCTGACCGAGAGTTAAGGTTAATTTCAAAGTCTGGTATTATAGTAAGATGAAGTATTTATCTCAAAGGTGTAAACAGTTTCTACCAAACAATACTTCAATTCAATTTAATTCAATTTTATTTCCCATCTCTTTAAAAACACATCAAAAGATGTACAAATAAATCAGTATAAATTAAACAATATAAATATAAAAACATTCATCGACATTGACATTCAGTTTTTACTTGTCATAAACTTAATTAATCAGCCTCGATTTCTATTTGAAATATGGATATTCCTCACTTAATAACAATTATAAAAAGATAACGATAATGACGAATTTATATTTGTAACTTCAAATCCTTTGCAAATATGGAATATATATTCCATATTTAAGTTTAGTTAAAATGCTGTTTTAAATCTGAGCATGTAAAATTTGTAATGTAATTTAGCTCTCTGGCGACCATTTTGCAGTTGTTTTAATGTACCATTCTACTACTACTACTACTACTACTACTACTACTACTACTACTACTACTACTACTACTACTACTAATACTACTACTACCACTACTACTACTACTACTACTATACTACTACTGCTACTACTACTTCTACCAATATTTCTACTATTACTACTACTACTACTACTACTACTACTACTACTACTACTACTACTACCACTACTTCTATTACTACTACTACTACTACTACTACTACTACTACTACTTCTACTACTTCTATTACTACTACTACTACTACTATTACTACTACTACTACTACTACTACTACTACTACTACTACTACTACAACTACTACTACTACTACCACTACTTATATTACTACTACTATTACTACTACTACTACTACTACTACTACTGCTACTACTACTACTACTACTACTACTACTACTACTACTTCTACTACTACTAATATACGTCAATCCAAGAAGTGCAGATGGGAGTAGGAGCAGCACAAGGGCGTGTCAATTTGACATTGTGAGCAGTTGTTTTCCTGTCAATGTATCACACATGTATCCGCCATTAATTGTACTATCTATAAATTGTGAAAATAATGTATATTTTAAATATATACTTCAAAACATAACAACAGAACAATTGTACGGTTGGATTAGTTAGGATATCAATATTTTAAATCTACTAAGAACGTTGATGCATTTGATGAGTAAAGAGTGTTTACAAATTTGCTTCCAGTCGCTTCTAGGTTAGCAAAGGATGTTATAATATCCTCTGTAAAAGTGTTTACACGAAATTATATTATATAATTACTTGTATTTCTATTTGTATAGAACATCTAATGATAAATTACACCTGTAAAACCAGATTAACACATTTAGAACACTGAGGTTCATGAATACATAGACTAACTGCAACAAGTTTATGTAGTCTGAATTAAAATCAATCTTGTTTTAAAATGAGTGAAGTAATGTCCATAATAAACTATACAATGAAATGTCAGTTGGTATGTTCTGTTCATAAGATAAGTAAGTACTCCCATTTTTGTAACCTTAATATATTAAGCCGTCTGAGGTGACAGATATCACATCCACTGTCCCCTCTGTTAACCAATTGAGACCAGATGGAGAGTAAGAGAGAGAGAGAGAGAGAGAGAGAGGGAGAGAGCGAGGGAGAGAGAGAGAGAGAGAGAGAGAGGGAGAGAAAGATGGGGGAGAGAGAGAGGTTGAGACAGATACAGCTGAGAGGGAGGGAGAGATTGTGGAATGATAAAATGGAGAGGGGTGGAGGGAGGAAAAAATATAGGAGGAGTAATAGGAAATAGAGGTTCGGGGGGGGGGGGCGGTGAACTTGTTTTACTAACATACATCTTACATGTACTTTGATGAAGAAAATAATATTTGAAAGTGGAAAACAGCGAGGAAGAAAAAGAAATCCCCCATCGAGGGGGGGGGGGGGGACCTGTCTTACTTTACAAGGAGGTGTGAGAAGTCATTTTCCCTTCTCCCTTCAATTTCCTATTCTCTCGTTTTTCCTTTCCCCTCCCGCTCTTTTCACTTTTCTTCCTCTATCTCTCACCCTTTACACACTCTCTCTCTCTCTCTTTCTCTCTCTCTTCCTCTCTCTGTATACATACATACACCCTTACATAACCCTTGCGTTCACCTTTACATACATACACTCATTCGTACAGGGGTGGATAAGTGTGTGTTTTTGTGTGTATAACACACCCTCACGCACACACCACCACCCTCATTTCTAGGCCTTTACACACGAACCAATTTCATATCCTCCCGGGAAGAGCATGAAGACTGTTAAACTAATAATAAAAATGACTTGTAAGAAAGAAATAAAAAAGCCACTTGACTTTTATATTTTGCAAAGATTTTAATTTCATGACAATTTATATACTAATCACGTCTGCAAGTAATGGTATCCTTACTCCTTTTTGAAAGAGAAAGATGATATCCTTCAAAGAAAATAATATTTCATGAATATGGAATGATGATTATCGAATCATCAAAGATGTCACCTGGTATAATTAATTCGCAAAGGAGATTTCGTTGCTGTATGAAGCAAATAAACTAAATTACACAATTCAAAACGACTATCAAACCATTGGTGACCAGTGACAGTTAGTTCTTGACGATCAAGAAAGTTCAGGAGTCAATGGATTAAATAAATCCTGTGAGTAGGCTACATTTTTTCTTATTTTCTGCATCAAAGTGAATGCGCGTAGCCGGTTACTCTATCACCTGATCAAAGAATTATGAAATAAGTGATGTAACTTTGCACTTGATTTTCATTGCATCCGTTTAGTTTTACCCAATCTTTCATCTCTTATCATTTCATGATCGTATAGAAGAAAAACAAAACTACATGAAAGGCCTAGATCATCATAAGGAAACTCATATTTTAAATTGGTTGCCATTCGTTGTCGTTAATGGTAAAAGACTAAATTCGTTGTCATTTGATAAACAACAGTCTTCTAGTCCTGCGTGGAATCAGCTTTTCGTTCGTCTACACTTGGTTTGGGTTCGGAGGAGAAGGCCTCTCTAAAAGGACGAAATGAAGGATATGGTTAAATTATGGTTTCTTTTCTAGTGTCTGTGACGACTCGTCTAGCTTTAGACATACTCATGAAATGATTTCTCATGCTGCTTATTCGCCTATCGCACTCTTAATATGATATCACATCTGAATAATATCTTCATGCATTTGACATGAAAACAGGAACATTTTCCCATTTTGATAAAGTTTGGTTTTACGACTAGTTGAAACAACTTAAACAGACGGCAATATTAGGGCAATCTGTATTGAACAGATTTTCATTTAACATTAAGGTTTTTCCAGAAAAGGATATGATTTGTCGTCAACGATCCTACATGAATGGGGGTAACCTTGCTGTATAACCAAATATATAAAAGAGATGAATACTCTACTTACATGTTGAAGGGGTCCACTAGGAGGCGGTGGAGGGGCAGAACCGTCACGTGGTGGAGGAGGAGGAGGGGAAGAACCGTCGCGTGGTGGAGGAGGTGGAGGGGAAGAACCGTCGCGTGGTGGAGGAGGGCGAGGGGAAGAACCGTCGCGTGGTGGAGGAGGTGGAGGGGAAGAACCGTCGCCTGGTGGAGGAGGAGAGGCAGCACGTTTGCTTGGTGGAGGAGGAGGAGGGGAAGAACCGTCGCGTGGTGGAGGAGGAGGAGGGGAAGAACCGTCGCGTGGTGGAGGAGGTGGAGGGGAAGAACCGTCGCGTGGTGGAGGAGGGCGAGGGGAAGAACCGTCGCGTGGTGGAGGAGGGCGAGGGGAAGAACCGTCGCCTGGTGGAGGAGGAGAGGCAGCACGTTTGCTTGGTGGAGGAGGTGGAGGGGAAGAACCGTCGCGTGGTGGAGGAGGAGGAGGCCGGGAAGAACCGTCGCGTGGTGGAGGAGGTGGAGGGGAAGAACCGTCGCGTGGTGGAGGAGGAGGAGGGGAAGAACCGTCGCGTGGTGGAGGAGGAGGTGGGGAAGAACCGTCGCGTGGTGGAGGAGGAGGAGGGGAAGAACCGTCGCGTGGTGGAGGAGGGCGAGGGGAAGAACCGTCGCCTGGTGGAGGAGGAGAGGCAGCACGTTTCCTTGGTTGAGGAGGAGGAGGGGAAGAACCGTCGCGTGGTGGAGGAGGGCGAGGGGAAGAACCGTCGCGTGGTGGAGGAGGGCGAGGGGAAGAACCGTTGCGTGGTGGAGGAGGTGGGCCGGTGCCATTACCTGGTCTCGGCCGAGGTGGGCCAGTACTGTTGCCTGGTCTTGGTCTTGGGCTTGGTCTCTGTGGCCGATCGCCGTTTGCTTTACGAATTTAAGAGAAAAAATACGGACCAACTAAAAACATACTTCTGCACAGTCTTATATGAAATGTTGTTAACGTACATGCACTTTATTCGCCTCATATGACTGCTCAGTACCTAATGCCATTGATATCTTTAACAAATACCCTTTTAGATTTAGCACATGGAAAGCTTGAAAAGTTCCCCGTATCGATGATCCAAATATGTTTATACTTACGAGCCTGTGCGGCACAAATAGCAGCAAGGACAAGGATGACAAAGAGTCCGCTGAGAATGATTCGGCCTGCCATGATGATATTGATGATATCAGCTTGGAGTTGTCTCTGACTATGGCTTTCATGGTTCTACCAGCCTTCTTTTTATACATTTCCCAAGTCTGAATTTTTTAAGGTAGATCCTAAAAGGTATATCATTCAGAGTGTACGAAGTGTTAGATTTCAAGGCGCAATGTTTACAAATCCTCACATGGTTATGTCTACTTCTCTTAGATGGCGACACATTACCATCCCTTCTAACTGTTGATGAGAAAACGGCGTCTCCGATCATTGTCCATCTGTTCGTGTTTAGTTTGTCTGTATTGTCTAATGGATTTAATTTCGTTTATATTGGAGCGGTGTTCTTTTTAATGAGCTTTGATTATGTAGTCCTACGCAAACTTTTTAGAGGACATGAGTTGCAATAGCGTAGTGTGGGCTAAGCAAGAGGGGGGGGGGGGGGGCGCTGGTATCAGAGTCGTGCACATACTTTTGTTTTCGTGGGAGAATGGTGAATAAAAAGGCTTCCAATTAATTGGATGGAGGTGAAGGAAGTTCTTTCACCTCTCTCCCGTGTTCCGCCTCTCTCTGTCTCGCTGCCTCTCTCTTTCTCCCCTCTCTGTCTCTATTTGTCTTTCTCTGTCTGTATGTGTATTTGCATTCGAAGGGGGAGGGTGGTGGTGTAGATAGTGGTGTAAATGGTGATGACGAAAGATTTAACATCCTGTCCCTCTCTCTCTCTCTCTCTCTCTCTCTCACACTTAACAAAGGGGACATTAGCCTTTTGACAAGGCCTCGTGACTCTGGCTAAGCGGCTGAGATGAGTCTAGATACCCGGGGTGAATGCGCTGTTAATAGGAACTCTTAGAATTGCACGTCTACAGCTGTGACTGCAACGTGTGACGTCATTTTAAGGCACTGCGCATGCGTTACGTAGTCTCAGTCGGCGATCGAGAATGCGTCAACCTTGAATTTTCTAAATCTAGTACACACATACATACAAACATATTGATATTTATATAGCGCCTTTACATGCTCAATGTACTAGTATGCCGCGTGCGCATACAATATTCAGTTCCTCACGTAGACAAAGGAACATTCCTTCCCTGCTATTATGTAAAAATGTGTAGAACAGGTGTCACATGCATATTCACCTGTTCTACACATTTTTACATAATAGCAGTGAAGGGGTGTTCTTTTGTTAATGGTAGAGTGAGGAACTGTATATTTTGTCCTCTTTCTTTGTCCGTGATATTCATAGTGTTACTTCCTGCATGCATGTACATGTATATCGTCGAGTGCAATCTGTAAGATTTCTAATTGTAGTTAAGTACGTTGACACGCATGATCAGTCGGCGTTCGTCGTGTTCTCGTCCATTGAATTTAAAAGTCCCTATTCTCGCTTTGTCGTTCACTCGGGCTTTCGCGATTAGTCTCTTTTTTTAGTCGCTCGGCGTCTATCAGACATGTGACCTTGTTCAAAGGCTAAGGGGACAGTAGCTTTGATATCTGTCACCTCAGAAGGCTTACTATATTAAGGTTACAAAAACGCATCGTTCGTACGAACCTTTGTGATCGTAGCTTTAAGAATGCATATTTGATTTCAAACCATAATATACTGCAAATTATATGCCTTTTCACAATGCTACTCGATAATGTAATTCAACACAGTCACACACAATATGCGAGGATCTATCATACAGTGGGTCCCAGAAAAAAAAAACGAAACCGAGAAGCATCGATGTTTTATCATTACTTAATCGCAATTATAATTGATAAATGACACATATTTGTCAAGCTTAGATTCTCCTCTTTTAATTGATGTCACTTATATGATGCATATTTCACGCATTAGTGATTAAAATGAATTTGAAGAGAGGAAACCAAAAAAAAAATCATTTGGCGGACGGTATCTGAATTTCAAAGAGAAAATCACATTTCTAGAAAGTTGAGTTTCTGCCCTTTCATATGACACCTCAGTCAGGAAAAATGAGCTAGGAATAACAAAGTTCTGTTTGTTTAAAGTAGTGGTTGCATTTCCTTTTTTTTAATTAAACGAATTCATTTTCACTGGCTGTTTGCCGTAGCAACAAACGGAATTAACAAAAGACTTAACTCCGTTTCGTTGACAATCAGCCGTAGACGAAATGCATGGCTGATTGTCAACGAAACGGAGTTAAGTTTTGTCAATTCTGCTAGTTGCAACGGCAAAACGAATTCGTTTGATAAAATTGTGGAAATGCAAGCACATATACATGGCATCAAATGAAATAGGAGGATCTAAGCTTTCCAAACATGTGTCATTTAGTAATTATAAATGTGAATAAGATATGATAAAACATCGATATTTCGCGGTTTCGTTTTTTTCTGGGACGCACTGTGGAAGCATAATTGAACAAAACTGAGAGAAAGAGAAAGTGCCTGGGAGAGAACATTTTAAAGAGAGAGAGAAAAAAGGGAGAGAGAGAGGACGGCAAGAGAAGAATGGAAAAGTGGAACTGGAAGACATGGAGAAGAAGAATGATGATGAAAGTAAGACACCGAAGGAAAAGCAATTGGATTTAGTAAGAAAGGAAGTTATTTATATAATGGACATTTCAGAGTCAATATAAAAGTTTCCTTTACACAGAAAAATAACAATTTGCCAAATATACATGACTAAGATAGGATGTATGCGCAAAAACTTTAAATCTAAAAAAAGAGATAACATATTAAGGGAATGTGCTAACTAAGAGAGAAATACTAATAATACTAATAGAGAACATTTATAATGCGCCATGTTTGTCAAAAATGACACTCCTGGCGCAGTTGTGTGGAAATTGTATAATTGCACCAGTAACTAGTCAATTAAAGCACAGGTTTATCCATATTGATTCATTAGAATTGGGATCACTTGAGCTAATCTTTATATATTCATAAATAAAGTACTATAGATCCATTGAAGCAAGAACAGGCATACAGTTTGAATAAGAGTTGTGGAATCAAACATGAATCAAAATAATGTATGCAGTGTGTGTCTGCAACAGTCTGGCGATCACACATGGCGATCTGTCGTGCGTATCTGGACACCTACCCCTGGACAACCACCCCCGGATAACCAGCCCAAGGATAACCACCCTCTAGGAAAACTACCCCCTAGAGCAACTACCTTCTAGGAGGACCACCCCTAGGACAACTACTCCCCGGACAATTACCACAAGACAACTACCCCCTAGGAAAACTAACCCCGGACAAATACCCCTGGACAAATACCCCCAGAAAACTACCCCCTAGGATAGTTGTCCCAGAGGATGGTTGTACAGGGGGTAGGTGTCCTAGAACCCTGTCGTAAACACGCTCTAGTCATCCACATCCTCCTTACCGTTATCACTCTCAAAGCTGTCATCCTCGTACGTCATAGCCGCTTCTTGATCTTCGTGTTCTGGGGGTGAGAGGTAACTGATTTAAAGGTGGAAGGTTCGTTCTCATCTTCCATTATCCCGCTACCACTGTCCTCATTCTTTATAATCCCATCTTCATCAGTCACCCAAGGTTCCTTTCCAGAGGAGCTACCTACCCTACTACCAACGACATTCAATAGCATATTCACGGAGGCTTTCCTCTACATCAGTAAAGTCATCTTCAGTTGCCATGGTAATATTGTGTTGAGGTGAGGAGGTTTCGATCAGGTTCTGCCACTCCCCTTTATCTCCATTCTACAAAATCATAATAAAATGTGAAACCACTTTAAGTTTTGTCCTAAAATTAAGTTTTCCAGTAAATGCTTGTAAATAGATACGACCTGTGCAATACAAATCAAACATGCAACATTCATAATGATGTAAGGATGCATTTATAAGTGTTGGTTACAGCACTGAAAAGGAAAAAAATGTGAATGCTCCTATCATAGGTATTTATATTAAAGACGTTTGTTTTGTGCAAATTTATACCTAGATTTTGTATTCCATAAACTTACGTGACTAGATAAAGATATAAAGAAAGAATACAGAAAGAATTGGAAGTATGTATTCGTTTGAGAGAGAGAGAGAGAGAGAGAGGGACAGGATGTTAAATCTTTCTTCATCACCATCTACACCACTATCTACACCACCACCCTCCCCCTTCGAATGCAATACATATACAGACAGAGACAGACAAATAGAGACAGAGAGGGGAGAAAGAGAGAGAGGCAGCGAGACAGAGAG